TCGATTCCCCCAATGAACGAGAGGTCCACAAATTGAGCGATCAAACCTTCCTACAGTTAGGATTGTCTCAAAACACCCACTTGGTCAAACCTTCTTACAGTTAGGACCACAGTCAAATTGAGAAAGAATGCCTCGCATTGGTGTTCGCAATGCAAAAGATGCGGCATTACTTAGTTGGACAGACGATCTATGTTATTTCCAATGTTAATCCAGTACGGGTGTTTATGACGCAACCGGCCTCTATGAATTGGCGGCTAACGAAGTGGGCCCTTCTCTTGTCCCAATACGATTTGCACTTCAAGCAGCAGAAGTCGATAAAAGGACAGGCGATTTGTGATCTTTTGGCGGCAAACCCGACCACAGATACGGCAGAAGTATATGATGACTTGCCGGATGAAACCCACGAGGTTAACACCACATCACACCAACAAGTATGGCAACTATACTTCGATGGTGCCTCAAGGGCAGTTAATAAGGTAATAACCCCGGGAGGTTTTACGGTTTCCTCTGGGGTTGGAGTTGTCTTAATCTCCCCGGGAAAACATGTGATGCCTCGGGCTTATTCATTGACTAGTCCGTGCTCCAATAATGTAGCCGAGTACAACGCGCTTATCATTGGACTTAATTTCGCCAAAGAGCTGGGGGTCGAATATCTCGAAGCTTTTGGAGATTCGCAATTGATAGTCAACCAAGTTCGCGGAGAGTATGAAGTCAGGAATCCAGACTTGATCCCATACCATCAGGAAGCCATCAGAATGGCCGAAACTTTTGAAGAATTCTTTATCGAATACATTCCTCGCCTCCAGAACGCTTATGCAGATGCACTGGAGGCACTAGCGGTATCACTTGCACAGCCTCCCGAAACTGAACTATTGGTCACAGTGAGGACGCATCAACTCTGCGTACCCATATACAGTATGGAGATTGAAGAAGAAGAGGATAGAAACGTGAACGCCAAAGAGGTGAATTCAACTCAAATTGGGTCTGAGTCCCGAGATTGGCGTTTTCCTATCATCGACTACGTCCAATATGGTATCTTGCCAGAGGATGTAAAAGAAAAGGAATCAATCCGCCGAAGAGCTCCAAGATTCTTCTATAATACCGAAACCCATACATTATACCGTAGAGGGTACGATGGTCTTTTACTCCGATGCCTTTCGAACAGAGAAGCAAAGGAAGTTCTTAAGGAAGCACACGAAGGAGAATGTGGTGCGCATCAACCCGGTCCTAAACTGTATGATCGCATCAGAAGAATGGGATACTACTGGCCCACAATGTGCCACGCTTGCCAGATACATGCGAATTATATGCATCAACCGCCAGAGCAGTTGCATACGTCAACCACTTCGTGGCCGTTCGAGACTTGGGGTATGGACATAGTCGGTCCTATTTTTCCCCCTTCAGTCAAAGGTGATCGGTTCATCCTCGCGATCACAGATTACTTCTCAAAGTGGGCTGAAGCGATTCCGCTTAGAGAAGTGAAGACGAACAACGTCATTAATTTCATCAAGCATCATGTCATTTAACTACACGGCGTGCCAAGACGGATCATTCATGACAACGGTCCACAGTTCATAAGCAATGCCTTCGTCAGATT